TTTTGCCATTTTCAAACAAATAATTTGTTTCATTGTTTGTATTTATTGTAACCAAATAATATATTATTTGATTGAAAGATATTACTTCAAATAATAATGTTATTTCTGTCAAACAATAGAAGTTTCTCGAATGAAACAACAAAATTTTTATTCAAACAAATAATAATTCGTATAAGCATATGTTGTTTCAATAAAACAAATTTTAGTCAAATAAATAGTGTGAATACTAAATCCAAAGAAACCTTTTTCTCTGTGTATTTTCATCAAATCATTCTTCAAAGTAGACCATCAAGTATCCATCGGAGATGCTATGTTGTCAATCGTCCGATGAAAATGCGTTGGATTTGTGCTGAATTAAAAACTCATTCTATATATATGTGTATATATATATATATTGTATTTTAGATCAATTGGATCTTTTGTAACTTTATTCAGTTATTTTGCCAGGTCACAAAGTTTCAAAGTTTCTTTTCTATGGATTTATGAGAGAAGATTGTAGGTATAAAAGTAAACTCAACTTTTTCATTAAGCACTTTCATAAACGCGAGGTGGCTCAACCAAATAAATTTAAAAATGACGGCCAAAAACATTGAAACAAAACGGTGCAATGTACAGTCATGAGGCATGTCATAAAAGGTGAAGCGGGGAATGCATGTGGTATGCAATTTCGGTAGACGCAGCGTGGCTGCGGGTCAATCACCGAACCGCGATATTGCTTATCGATTCCCTCTGCTTGATTGACATGCCTAGAAGCTGCAACAGACGCTCACGGCTTTATTTTTTCGAAAATCTGCAATCGAGTTTATTTTCTCTATCACTTTCCATCTTCCGCTCTACATAAATATTGCAGAAAAAATTTTTTGTTTCTGTGATATATAAAATATTCGAAGTCTTCAGCGCTTCTATTTATTTATAGCTTTCTAACAAAGTAAACTTTGTAAAATAATGCATTCGTTGACTAAGAGACGCGCCAGTTATGCTTGCATACCACAAAATATTTCATTGTTACACAACAAGAACAAACTATTATTAAGGACAACATGACGCTCGCAAACTCGCAAGAAAATTCTAAGTGCAAAGCTGGCTTATACCGTCGAGTTTAGGTTACGAAGCTTCTCAAGTATGTGTAACCACTGTAATAAGGGTTGCCTTTAATACTTCGAAAAGATCCTTATATGGTAGCATGTGTTCTTCATGATTTATTCTACGATATATCAAAAAAGATGTCTAGAGACATCGTAAGATAAATCACGAAAGACAGATGTATATACCATACATATGAGGATCTTTTCGAAATATCAAAGACGATCCTTATTACACACACTTGAGAAGCTCCGCGACTTAGCTCTTTCTATGAAATAACTATATCTTCCATAAATCAGTTAAAGAAGAATTGGTTCCAATTTATATATCTATAATATATCTATAAAAATTTTTCGATCTATCTTATGGTGCATCAAAAAAGATGTCTTCAGATTATATTTATAAATTGGAACTAATATTTTTTAACGTGATTTAAACAAGATCTAATTATTTTACAGAAAGAAAAGTTTTTTAAAATATCTAAAAAGATAGATACAGATCAAAAGTAATTTAATTGAACTATCAAAATAATTATGTAGAATACTCAAACAGAGGTTGCTAGAATGTCAAAACTGTTTGCAGTATGCTTATCGTACTTGAATTTTCTATACAATTATTTTGATAGTACAACAAAATTATTTTCAGATCTACCTAAATTTTCAGTTAACTCGTTCCTTCCATGTTTTCATAACTTTACTTATTATTAAATTGAATAGATACATAAATATTTAAAACAATCGATTTCTATTGGAATATTACTCAAGTTTACTAATATGCACGAATTGTACTTCATTTAATATTAAATAAGAAAAAACTTCGTTATTTATTCATATTCTTGAATCTTTATTTAGCAAAATGTTTTACTTGGATGTTACCTCCATTTTGTTTTAACGATGAAATGAGGACTGTTAGGATATTACCATATTCTAATTTTCACTTTGTTTTTATTCATCTTTGTTTTTTTATTATCCTATTGATTTTTGTTTAAATCAATAGGAATATTTTAAAGTTTTTTAAATTTCACCTCTATATTTGACCATTATTGTTGTTATTCCATATTACTGATAGCAATAACTTTGACATGATATACATATGTATATTAACAAGTACTGCATTTTTAGTCAGGTGTCCAGTACACTTCGAGAACATGTGACTCTTGACACTGCATAACTTCCTAGCATTTTTCTGACACGACAGAAGATGTATATCCTGAAACGTGAACGTTGATAGCAGGTCTCAACTCGACAGCCATCCAAACGAGAGACGCTTCCGCGAAAAGTCGTTCGCAAATTCTTCGCACCACTTTCTTGCTGGCGCTGGTCGTTCGCATTCATAGCACGTCTCGTGCAGTGTATCCGCGAAGATTCTACGAGAAATTGGAGCTTGACAATATAGAAACAGGCATATGCACGATTGTGATACAGTTTCTCAAATGATTACATTGTATCTATAGAAATTATATGAAAATTAATTCTAATCAGTATTCGCTCGGAAATTTCTTTAATTGATATTCGCGGATCCAGTGTACTTTAAATTAATGTATCTTTGCTTAAAGTTAACATAATTGAACGATTTTTTTTATTTTGATGATCAAAATCCGAGGAATAAGATTACATAATTTAAAATTGTGTAAAATTATGAAAAACATTTGTTATAAACAAATTTTCACATACTAGAAGAAAATATCTGGGTCCATTGGATTCGTGAATATCGATTAGAATTAAATCCGCCTGAAAGTTATGGTTTGACAAATTATAAAAAATAGCAAAGTTACACATTATACGTGCATTATACGTATAGATATATTGCATGATGTTTCATTGTGGACATTATAAAAGTAATGACTCTCGTAAAATGTGTCTGGTGCTTATATTTTGCTTGAAAATGGCGATAGCAAATGTATAATAGAGTGGCGTTTCCTTTTCGCGTTGCCTGCTTCTCGGAAACAAAATCAATAAATGGTTAAAGATAGAATGAATGATTGACTCTGTGTCTTTCTCGCGTCCCAGTCAAATCACACACGCTGTATTTCAGTCAGAAATGTCATCAAGTGGAATATGCGTAATTTACTATTTTCTGAACGAATCAACATTTAAAACACTTCATTTAGTAAGTAAAAATTAAATGCATAAAGAAACCATGCATTTTGCGACATGACAGGCATTATAAAAGTGAAAATTCTTTTAATAATTCCGTCAATAATTAATTGAAATAATTATTGAAAATTATAATTTAATAATAAAAGCTTCTAGTGTATGAAATATAGGAAACTGCTCGATAAATTGACATTTTCTCTCACAATCAATGAAGACTCGACATTGAAGGGATTAATGAGAAAAGGCAAACATGTTGCACCGTGTAAAAACATTCCTATTACCTTCGGTACTTCGGTACATAATCAATTGCTATCCGTTTCTTTTTAATGACAGATGCTAATTGCACGTGAGGTCGATAGTTCTTCAACTGCGCGCAAGTACGATTAATAGCCATGCTTTTTCAGCGAGAAAGAGAAGGAAACGAAGAAGAGAACGAGCAAGAGAAAAGAAACGACTTCAGCGCGAGTCCTCGCAGTCGGCCTAGCAGAAGAAATAAAGAAGCCAACTGACGGGGTTGGGAAAGAAAAAACATTTTACGATACCAGTTCACAGAGTAACAAATAATCTTTGTGGCATGTTGCGACGTGGACATTAACGGGGAAAAAGCGCATGGGGAATGTACGGATGAAGCTTTTATGCCATGCTACGTCGATAACTTTGTGCGAGGAAGGGTGCTTCGGGAAGAACGTCAGCTGTAAGCGTCGTTCTGTGGCGGAATAAACCTTTCTTAAAAATATTCTTCGCGCTCTCTCTCTAGAGAGGAAGAAAATGCGTAGGATCACGCACAGCACGTGAATACTTAGAAATATATCTATCAGGATATTCTCAAAGAATATCTATAATATGTAGACGAATATCTAGGATATTTGTAGAATAAGATCAGAAAAACATTTGACAAAACCCGCATCTAAAAAGCATCAAGAAATTTAAAGGAACTTAAAGATTCATCCAGAATATTCGAATATATTATATAATGTACAATATCCGAGTAATATTAAGGAGGTTTTCAAAAAATATTCAAAAATGTCCTCGAGAATACCCACTGCTGTGTAGGAGTAATCTTTTCGGTACTACGCATTCGACAGCGTGGAAAAGGATCTGTTCTCGGGCGAACGAAAACAGTGCGAGTCGAGATGGTAGTAAGTCGATGAGGGTAGAAGCCGGAGTGGAAATGAAAAATCGCCGGCGCGGCGCCGTCGAGCCACAAAAGTAACCACCTACTAGCTCTTATGTACAGATAAGAGTAAATAACGAGGCCGACAGGCACGCGGAAGAGAACTAATTCGCTGCATATTTCACGCACGTTCGCCCCGCGGCTACTTCCGAGAATAGGTAAAAGGATTAATCGCGGCTCTGTCCTTCTCATGCTCATTCTTTTTATTTCAGATATGTTTATTTGCTGTATTATGTATTTCTGAAAAGATATTAATAGAAAACAGAAAAATCCTTTATACAGCAGCTTATTAGCATAAACACACTTTAATCTTTAAAATATCTTTCCGATTTTCAAATACTTTTACATTTAATTAGAGAATATAATTTATATGTATATGTATATATATATATATATATGTATATATATATAAAACAAAAAATAATGTAAGTAAAAAGGAAAACGTTACGGTACTGTTTGCATAAAAAATTGTCTAGCAAACATTGAAGAAAACATGAAATAATAAGAAAAAATAAAAATAAACGTCTTTTATCTAACAAATTTATTAATTTAATATAGATTTTGTTAACGTTATAATAATCACAGAGTATTCATAAAAATGCGATAGTAAATGTAAATATTTACCAGTGAGAAATGTACCGGCTTACCTTTTCACCGCTATCGCTAGGCAAGTAAAACGTGAGAACCGTGAGAAACGATATCCCCATACAGGGGATGATAATGTTCACTGTGTAAAAGAGGGTTTTCCTCCTCATCGTGATGTTGAACGTGATGTCCAAGTAGGGCTCGTCACAGCAAGTGTAAAACTTCTCGTTCCTGCGAGAAGAAAAGACGCAAGAGACATTGCGGTTAATCGTCGGATCGATAAACGAGTGGAAGGGAGCGTTAGGATTAAAGCGATGAAGTGAAAAGAAAAAAAAAATCGCCTAAAGAACGTAAAAATTCCGCTATTCAGGACGGAGAGAAGCGTTTGTATTCGACAATAAGTACGTTTTAAGTAAGTAGGGTCGGCGGTGAGCGAGACTTATGAGGAAAGTTTCGCAGGATCGTATAACTCCGTCGAAGATCTCTCTAAGTCGGTAACTCGGTTCAGACTATTCCCTTACGTCCCTCTAGTCTGTCCCCCTTTATTCAGGCCAATAGTCTTAAACTGGAGCCAGTAATGTTTTGTGTCGTGAATAAATTTGAATTACTTTATTTTTCAAACATTCAATTTTTACACGAAATTAGGCGATTTTTGGCGTGATTCAGTATAGCAACCAAAGTGTACCAAACTACACCAGAATAACGTTTTCACGTATTTAACCATTAGTAATAGAGGCATATAGCTAGCCGTTTAACTTATGTCTTATTCTCTCTATGTTGTCTCTTTTATTATATATCACGTCAAAATAAGAAATTATTTTTAAACAGTATATCGTATTCGTGCGTATAAAAAAACCTAGTAATTTTTTAACATAATAATTGTTCATTCAGATTATGAAAATAAGTTCCATTCCTACCAATAACAATTTTGACGTGTACCAAACGGTAGCTTATTGAAACAATTCTAAATATATATAGAGAGTTGCCATATCAAAAATTTTAAAACCAGAACTTACAGACCAAAAAACCCAGACATTTCGCTTGAAACCGGACTCATATAAAAATGCATGTATATTAGTAAAATTGATCAGAACAGTAAACGAATAATTATTTATTATTCCTAATTGTTCCTTAGTGGTACTAATTTAATGTAAGAAATTGACCAATTATATAGTTGATTATTTTTTTCAGCTTCTCACATTCAACTATGATTGGTCAGTTTTTTATAGCTTAAGGATTACTACTCCTATTGTAAATCAGGAGTATAGAATAACGTGAGAGAGAAGTCAAAGTAAAAAATTTAGAAGATTCTCTAAAACCTCATAATTATCTCGGATGCATTTGGAAAACCTTCCCCCTCCGGACGTCCCTAGACGCCCTGAAAAAGAAGATAGATAGCAACTCTAAAAAAATATAAGAAAAAAAATGTGAATTGAACGATTTCTTGAAGATTGACCTAAATTTTGTAATCTCTAACTTACAATAACATACAATTTTTTCTCGAGAGTCATCGTTGTAATTGACTTTATCTACTTGTTAGATCATAATTTTTCGTAAAGAGGATTCAATCTTCAATACGTGACAAATAAGAGCGTTTAAATCGAATGTGGCATCGATTCGGGTAAACGGAAAGTACAATACCGATGCCGAAAGTGTTCAAACGTTAAAGCATCAACATTTCGAAATATCTTGAACATCTCTAGTGGCAGGACACTTCAAGTATCTGTGACAACATTTTACTACTATGGCAGCTTCCGGAAGTAGAATCCAATTCCCGTTTGCATCGCGGCACACCGAATATCGGGAATCGAATCTTGCCCGAAGCAGCTGTTCGCTTATGCCAGGCTAGCATATTGAATGTGAAGAAGAGTTTCATAAGGAAAAAGAAAGGAGCCTTTTCTAGAGCGCTTTGAGATTTCGATGCCACTGCTATACTTGAGAATCTTGGAGATTAGATTGAGATCTTATCCAGAGAAAATAGATGAACTTGGCAAATCTCATATTGAATATAAGACAATAAACCGTAATCGCTTTGTATTCAATATGAGAATACATATTTGATTTATAAGATCTCAAATTCAAGTCCTTATATTACAATTTTCCCAGATAGAAGAAAGTCTGCAGTCTTCTAACTGACTGTCAGCATATTCGAGCAGAAAATGACGGCAGTCTGCGATCAACTGCGTCCGCATTAGGCTTGTGTTAACATCGCCTATCGACATAATGTGAAGGCAAATTGGTAGAAACTGAGCAGATCCTGCCGACATTATCTGATTCTGTTATGTTTTTTCCTAGCAGTCTGTTCGCAGTATACTGTTCAATACTGTTCAACAGTATATTATGTAAATCTAATTCTGTAACAATTCTGTTGCTATTTTGTTGGCATAATGTGTAGCAGATATTTAAAAAATCTGCTTTCTACAGATTTGGCTATCTGGGTTTATGAAATATCGCGTATAAATGAACAAATTCAATAAAATTGTGATCACTTTTTATAACAATATATGTATATAGAGAGTATATATGCAAATAAAGATGTATGCTATATATTTGAAGATCAAACGCCAACGAATACTTACCGAACTGCAGGAACTTCTAAAATGTCCCATTCTACCGACATGTAGAATTCGGACAGGTCAACTCCCACATCCACCACGTTGCTCCCCGATTTTTCGTCCATGTGTCTTAGATCGACCTACGTGACAGAAAAAGCGGCTGGCATTAAGCTCGCGCGTAAAAAGTCGCCATTGTTGAAACGTTCGAACTCCATGCCCACGTAATTCATCTCTGACGTACGAGCGTGCAGTCGGAGGGCTCTTGTACAACATAAAACATATACAAAAGATTCTATATTTCTTTATTATATTTCTCCAAATTGTAAAAGGAGATTTATAGTGAATACATTGATACACCGTTTATCATAGCTTCAGTCTACAACTGCACACTCGCGTTAAAAACGCTTGCTTGATTACGAACAATAATAATTCTGAAATAAACTTTCAGTGCATGTCTTGAGATGCACTTGGTGTTCGCAGAAGCGCAGAGGGAGCTAATTGTCAAGGAATCAAAAAACGGAGCGTCGACTGTGGTGGTCCGCAACAACAGGACACTCTAGAGCAGCAACTAGATCAGCGGAATATCGCCTTTATATACATATCGATATCTATGTGTGCACCACATTGCAGAGTAAAAGGAACACGCAGTCAAAGAAAGAAATCAGACTAGAGCACTCGATTCGGTTTCACTCATGAATTCAGGGCCATAACAGCAGCTATGCACCTAATGCTAACGAGGTATTCCATTTAGCCGCGACTTTTGGGTGTAAATGTTTTTTCTAGCTGTTGACAGTGACTTTTGATCTGTAGACTGCCGTAGAAGTTTTGTATAGCTCAGAAAATAAATTGATGGAATTCCTTACCCAGAAGAGAAATTGGTTTTCGTAAATCTAAAACTATCCCCTCCAATTTGTAACAATCGTTTTTTCCGGTGATATTGTCATGAACTTGTGATTATCTACAATAAACTGTTTCTTCGTACAACGATTTGTATTTCTGACTTGGAAGTAATATTTATTATACATTCCAATCCTATGAATATTTTTTATATTTTATAAACAATTACTATACAAAATCAATTTACAACATTTATTTTGTAAATTATTCCAGAAAAAATGTATATTTGTTCTATTTGTACTGCGAATTGTACAGTTAAAGTTGTACACCTTGAAAAGTTTACTGTATATTATGATTACGATAGCAACTATTGTCGAACCAATTTCGCCGATGTAGAATTAGTTTGCCTCATCAGGAATAATTCCGCCGTTAAGTTCCTAACATTGTCTTCTGTGAAGCCATTTGAGCGTCATGCAGCAAGATTAAACCCAGCGGCGGCTTTAATGTTACGTAAGTGTCTAACCATTGGTTCAGGCGATCGCTCGCTGCAGTGGTATTACCGTGAAATACCTCGGGCAGACGCATCTCCGGTGATTCAAGTAACGGTGCGCTTGCGGACGATACTTTGTCACTGCTGCGAGGCGAGATTAAAGCCGGCAAACAATTTCGATACAGCGCCGGTGATCGCGACTCCGAAGAATGCAATCGCCCTGAATTGCCTCGAAATCTGACGAGCCATTCGATTTTGCAACGACAAAGAAAGACGTCCTATTATAAATCACGTACGTCTATTTCGCTGAGAACGTAATTCTGTTACAAATTTTTTTCAAGAGATCGTTTGTCTTTTAAAATGAATTTTCAAATGTATTTAGTAAAAACAGTTGTTGTAAACAAAATTAGTTAAACTTATATCTTCTCTCTCCCGTATATATTTTCGATTAAAAATTGTGTCCAAGAAACAATTTTATCTCTCTATAATAAGACTATAATAAGACTTTAAAGCACACATCTTTTTTTACATTCAAATTTCTTAAAACTTGATACAAGGAATTTTTGGAGTCACTGATTACGAATATGCAATCAGATTTTGAAAATTTTTTAAATGACATATTGAGAAGACAAAAATAGGTCTAGTTACTTAAAATTGGATAGATACTCGGGAGTTTTTAGAATCGCTGGTAATAAATCTGAAGTAAAAATTTAAAAATTAAAAATATTTACTCGGATTCAATATGACGGATTCATAATATAAAAAATTGATTGATTAGTTATTACTGATTAGTCACAAATTACCGAGTATAAATTTTTATGGAAATTCGAGTGCATTTTGTATTTGGGCTTGCCATTTTAAGTCTACCATTTCGAATTTGATAATTTTTTGCTTATATTCGAAATAAGTGATCTCAAAAACGTATACGAACATTGTTTTTTATACAAATCAATCTATTTTGATCATATTGAATACCATTTTTTAAATTTTTACTTTATATTCAAAATCAGTGATCTAATAAAAAGAGTACAATTTGATGATGGTTATATCAAATCCAATTACTTTATCACATCACTGTGAAATTAAAAATTTTTAGTTGAGATTCGGATTCAGCGATTCATAATACTGCTAGATATGAAGTTACAAAAAATCAGCTGCAGAGAAGATACCTTTTTTATTTTTTAAAAGGTGTTATATAAATGTAATACCAAAGCTTCAAAGGGTTAAATCCAATTATGTAGATGTATTGCTTGAAATTCTGCTTAAAATGAGAATTATACTAGAGAACGCGCGTACTTCACACCTGCTGTAAAATAACATTTCAATTAGGTTCACGCGAAATCGAGGTGCTGCTGATGGAATTAATTAAAGGCGACGTGTATGGGATACCGCACCATCTGATCTTGGTGAACTTCGCTAAAGATCCTTTGAAGTGTAGACAGGCTGTCTCATTAATCTCGCGGGTAACCGGACGGAAACGGAATTTAAAGAATATGCATTATTAGTCGAAGCACGTCGCACAATCCTTTTTCTCTAAAAATTGTGTTATCTTGCACGTCTCGTAATCGTTACGTGTGATTCGTCAGTTCCGCATTTATCTCGCCAATTTACTTCCGTTCCACGGAAAAAATTTATAGTATCTACTTTCTTTTCCGCGATGTCACTTTATTACAATTATTATTCATTTATCATTATATTCTTATACATTCATTCGATGTTTAACTCATATTTTTCTCCTGCCTTTTAATGTCATTTTCTTAATAAAAACACTATAATTTATTTTCTAAACAAATTAATTTAATATACTGAGTATTTTTGTACATATAAATAATTATTAGAACTATAAATAATTAAAACATTTAGGAAAAATGTTTTTTTATAGATTCTTAAGTTTTATCAAGAATTATAAATTTCTCAAATTCACGATAGAATCGAAATAAAAAAAATATTTTAAAGAAAAATTTCATTACACTCTCACAATGATATGTGTATGTATTTTCTTTATAGCTATATATTTTCTACTCGGACTTCCCGAAAAATAAATAAAGAATTCTGCGTGGCACTTTTCCAAACTGCGTTCATGTTCGTTTTAGACTAACTGACGTATAAAGGGAGATAGAAATGCCCGATAGAAGCTTCTGACAATTTGTGAACATTTCTGTGTGAGTTGGGAAGAAGAACAGACGGGGACATAAGTTACAAAGAACGCGAGAAACGCGCGTACTTTTTAAGCAGTGATGAATGTCGCCGGAAGATCTTTCAAAGTTGCAAGGACGGAAAGGAATCGATTGGTACAAATGGTTAAAACATTATAACATCGGTCAATCGACATGCAGTTGACGTTTCTTGAACCTCTTTGATCGTGCTGAGATCGAGAATGTTTCGAATTTTTCAGTGCCCGCTGGTAATGCACTCTGTGGTTTATAAAAAAAAAGGAAACTCTTATCTTTGTCCAGAGAACTTATAACAATGTACTCCAATTTTGTAACTCTTTGACTCAATATTGTTGTATTGTTGTTGCGTAGCTTTAAAATACCATATTATATATATATTTTTTTATATATATAAATATAAGGGTTTAAATATAGTCAATTGTAAACTACATTTAGACGGCCACGTATCCATGAGTTAGTGAGCGTTGGTGAACGCTCATTTCAACACATTCGCAAGTAATGTATATTCTCTAAACATAATTTGTATTTAACCACATCGTAATTAACCACATTTAAATCTTTATATTTAAAAAATTACTGCTTTAAATAAAAAAATTATAAATAATATTTTCACTTAATAGGAAATAAAGGTCCATAACAGTCAAAGCTTTAATGTTTAAATAATTCAATGTGAATTTGTTAACCAAAGATCCAGCTTCAATCGTTATAGGTCTTTAGTTCTTATTTCCTATTAGTTGTGTTTTCATATGTGCGGTTCAATAAAATTTTTATTTTTCACTTAATTTTTCGAGGACCTTGCTGTGATATTTTTATTTGCGAATTTCGGGTCACTCTATATACAGGGAGAAAGTATGTATATCTTTCTCTCTCGTAGGATTTTGACAAAATAGCATATAGCCCGATTTTGTGTTATAAGGTCTCTAAACTTCATTGTAAACGTCAAAAGATTTTCGCGGACGTTAAAGAATTCTTGCAAAAATAATGGCGCGCGGTAGACGCTTCTTTATTGACTTTGATGGAGAGGAGGAGATGACACCGTCGCGAATCTTTTTACGGAAGGATCGTCAGCTGAGACAGCTGGTTCGCGATTGCCGATACGTCGGAGATTGTTTTACCGAGATAGTCACGGTAGTTTCACACGTCCCATTTATTGCATCGTTGCCTATTGCTTTTGTTACACTGCATATAATCGATCGTGAAAACAATTTCAACTTCACCTACATTCACGAGACGAAACGAAAATATCGTTTTGTTTTTGTCTCTTTCGGTCTTCAAACACAACGAAATTTTGCAAACTTCGGATATTTTGTGATATATATATTGAATTCATCGCTTCGTGAAAATCGACCTTCCACACGAACCACGAGAACAGGAGCTTTGCTGATCGAAAGATTAGTGTTGATCTTTTGATGCGATAAAGGCGAGCTTGATGTGATGGAGGGTAGGTTGAAAGGGTGATTCGATGAGGCGGTTTAGATAGCCGGGCTTACGGCGTCTAGACACGGCGAGGGAAGATATGCGAGGGGGATGATGGCGAAAGGCGGTACGGGGTGCTGTATTCGCAACGAAGAGCGCGGGCTCTCGCATAGTGGGCGTTTAAATTGCACTTTGTGGCGGTGCGAGCCAGTGCACGGCCACT